CAGAGCACGCAGAGTCGCATGGGGCTCTAAATTCAATTCCGTCGGATCACCGGATGCGTGAGCCTTCACTGTTGTAATGAATTTCTCATGAAACTTGAGCCAGCCTCCTAGAATTTTGCATTCTATCTGATGCCTGAACACTTTTAAATGAAACACTATTCTCTAGAATTTCCTGGTGTGTGTTTACCCTATTGGAAGAGGATAACGTAGTCCAGAACTTACTCATGTGACCCTGTAGGCAGTTTTGGTCGTGCGCCTCGCATCCCATGTGGCAGCGGTATAATGCCTCACATTGTGTTTAAGAAGTCATCATTGCAGCCCTGGCTGGTGTGGCTCCGTGGGTTAGGGTCACCAGTTTTATTCTGGATCACGGCACAGGCCTGGGTTGTGGGTCAGGTCCCTGGTTGGGGGCGTGTGAGAGGCAACCAGTCGATGTCTCTCTTGCATGATGATGTTTCTCTCCCTGTCTTTCTCCCTCCCTTCTTCTCTCTCTAAGAACAAATAAAATCTTTAAACAAATTCATCATTGTGGCTGTCAGGTTTTTCTGTATGGTAGCTCTTCTACAAGAAAACCAGTTTTATTGATATTATTTAATGGTGAATCATATTTGCTCAGATTGGGGTTCTCTGCTGTCAGCTTATACTTGTTTCTGGCATAGATGAAATTGAAGTGGAAAAAAATCTGCATTCCAATTTGATTTTTCCTTTTGTATAAATGCAATGGGAGTCTTTATACCACTTTCCTTTGCCTTTGAGTAAAATAATGAATACAGAGTGCTTTCTAAAGACTGAGTTATTCTTATTATGCCACTTTAGGTCTTCAGAAACAAGTGCAGTAGAGGGAGCACTTTTAGCATCGTGATTCTTGGGTTTTAATTCCGACTCTGGAGCTAATTCGGTGGTGTGGCCTCAGGTAGAGGGCTTTACCTCTCTGGTCCTGGAGTGTCTCTGTAAAAGGAGAGGCACGGCGTGGCCCTTTTGGGTCTCGCGGAGCGGTGCTCAGGTGGTGACAGCATCAGCCTCACAGCACGGGTGTGGCGCAGACCTGAGAGTAAGTACGCCGCCTCCCACCCGAACCACGGACAGGGGGTCGTTTACAGTCTTTTTGGTGAGAACCTCGATGCAGTAGATAATTGCTATTTTCCTTCTGTTTCATTTCGTTTTCTTCATCTTTGTGTGTATATTTCTTTTCCTTATATATAAGCATACAGTTTTGTTCTGTGCTTCATTATGTTCTTTGTCATTGTTTCCATTTCACTTTCCTTGTGTTTCATTCCTGTATCTTTCTTGTTTAGAGCAAGTGGAGCACGCAGCTGGCAGTAGCCTCTGTGTAGGACCCTGCAGGAACCTGATGGTAAGTGCACACGTGTACTTACCAGGCTCCCAGTGGGCTCTGCCGCACCGGCTCGCACAGACAGAAACCAGCCACCCCCTCCCCTGTGTAAAAGTCATCACTCAGGGTATTTTTGGTTATAGGCTTGCTTTTCATTTTAATTTGATTATATATAGAACTGAAACCAAATACCAGGGGGGGAAATATACTGATTTAAGGAAATGGAACTGTTTCCACCACCTGTTATTGCGATGTTTGCCTTTGTGAGGGACACCAGGCACACCGCAGTGTGAGTCAGGACACACAGGGCCTGGCTTCTGGTGTGTCCCGGACTGGGTGGTCCCTGTGGGGGCCTGGCCTTTGGTTTCTCTTGCGAAATAGCAGGCAGGACAGGTGATTTCAGTAGTTCCTTCACCACTAGTCTGCAGTCCTGGTGGGAGGTAGCTCCAGTGTTCCACGTTCTGATAGAGATGGAGAAAATCGTTTCGTGTATCAGATGGTTTCAGTTCCATGAGTGAATGATGTTAATTAGATTCATGATAGATGCATTTCCATCATAAAACTAAGTGTATCGGTGTTCATCGAAAGGTACTTAGGAGGTAAATTTAATTTTCCATTTCTTTGATTTTAGAATTGGTTTATTAGTGTCATCCAGATACTTTAAAATTTCTAATAAATGCATAAACTGCAGAGTTGCAGGTCTTTAGTGGCCCATGTTGTTTTGGTTTAACCTCGTGGTTCTTCACTGGAGGAGAATGCCCCCTCCCCCCCAGACCATTTGGGACATTTGGCCACATCTGGGGACTTCCGCTTGTCACACTTGAAGGGTGGTTGTGACACCGGCATCTAGCGGGTGGAGGTCAGTGATGTGGCTGAGTACCCCCTGATGCCTCGGACCGCCCCAGAGCCGAGCGTGGCCTGGCCCCGCTGTCTCCTGGCTGCGGTGGCCGGGGGTGGGATGTTCTTGGCGACCCTCGGAACAGGCTGCAGATGTCCCTACCACAAGTGGCTTCTCTTCCCAGGGTGTCAGGGTTGTTCCTGGTGGTGACTTTGAAAGAGGGCACCTGGGGACGGAAGGGATCCTTCTCACTGGTTAGGTTCGGAGAGTCCAAAAATAGACATTTGACATTCAGTGTCAGCTATGCAAAGAATAAAACCTCCAATAGTAGTTTTACCTTTTAGGTAGTCATCTGGTCTCATTCCGAGTACATGTTAAGGAATGGTATTATTAAAGTTGTGCTTTGTTTTATTAGAATCAAAATCTAGAAATCTCAGTATGCTGTGTACATACAGGCCAGTTTCCTTTTTTTTGTATCACCTGCTCACTAGCCCCTATAGTGCTTGAGAGGTCAAAGAAGACCCTTTGCAAGGGATTGTATTACAATAAATTGACATCTGTATTTCTGTTAAATTGTACAGTGCAGTGTTTCTTAGTGCATGTGAGGTTTACGCATAAGAGGGAAGTTTGGACCGTACTCCTGTTTCCCTATATTTCAAAAGCGTGTATCTGTAGAGAGTAGAAAGTAAGAGACCTATTTGGAAGACATGAGGTAGCTACAAATGTCTTATAACAAATCACTGATTTTGACCCAGGGGAAGACTTTTCTGAACGTAACTTTTGAATGAAGCATCTGAGGACGAGTAAGAGCCCTTACAGCACAGGTGGTGAACACAGGCCCCCACCCCCCCCACCTTGTTTTATCCGTCCCAGCACCTTGTTTCTACTTGGCGGTAGTGCCGAGCTCCTTGCCCCCAGTTAAGGAGTAGTTACATTTACACAGTCCTAAAACTACATTCGGCCCTTTGAAGGCAAGCACGAGGCTGATGTGGCCCCCGGTGGAGATGAGTTTGTCACCCCTGCCTTACCTGGATCTCATGAGACGCGACCCGCAGAACCAGAGCAGTTAACCTTAGCAGCCAGTCGCTGGTATTTGCCTTGTCTGCTGCCAGCAGTCTGCTGTGGGCCGGGCACGAGTCATCCTGGAGACCAGAAAACTGGCCGAAAGGTTAGGATCCCAGTTCCCTGAAGCACAACGGGATTCCTCAGGAGCTGTCGTCATCATCAGATAGTGCTGTTGACGGGAAGGACTTGAGAAAGGAGGCGACTTTTTGCAGTGGTGACGTGTTTTCATGGCCTCGCCCCTTGCAGAGGGGATTGGTTTATAACCCTTCCACCTGGAGACACGAATCTACCTTTCCCCCGAAGACGCTGCCCCCGTCCCCACCAGCACGCGGCTCCCCTGAAGCTCTCTTCTCGGCTGCCTTTGGAAATGAGCGGGTTGACTCGTTTTCAGAAATTGTTCGAGAGAACTCGTACATGGTTGCAGAAAACCGGTTTTCTTACCGAAGAATTAGAGGTTTCAAATGGTATTTTAGAATTTTCTTTTTAAGACTAACATTAAATGGCTGATTATTAAGTATTTTGTACTTTTTTCCTTGTTGAACCTCCTAAATATTTCTCAAAATCTGGGTATATATTTTAGGATTAATATTCGCTCTGTATTGTAATTGATGTTTTTATTTTTAACCATTATGATTTTTGCAGTGGTGATATTTTGTGTTTCTGGTCTTAATTTTTATCTCTTACCTACATTTTGGTTAATTATGCTGTTCCGTAGTGATTCTCTGTTACGGAGATTGCCACTTTCCGGAAGCTGCCAGCAGCGGTTTCCAGGGTGTCTGGCCCGGAGAGGGAGGTGGCTGGAGGCTCTTAGGGAACGCCCGGGGGCCGAGGAGAGATTGCGGAGGTACAAGGACAGTGTTGGGGCAGGGTGATAGGAACCGAGTCTGAGTCTGAAACTTGAAAAATAAAAACTACCAGGCATGAGAAACTTAGAATTTTAAAAATGGCAAAGAAGGCCGGCAGCTTCTGGTTAAATCCCAGAGGCTGAACTTCTGGACGTCCAGGCGTAGGAAGTTCTGTCGAGAACCGTGTATCCTTCCCCAGTGTGCTGGTGACTTGAGTCCGCTCTTCCCGCTTGTCAGAAACGGGCTGCGTTTTCCTCTTACCTCCTGAACTGTGGTGTCGCTTGGCGTTCAGTTAAGGTCTCTGAATTCCAGCCTCCGAATTGGTAGTGAAACGCTGAGTTGCTCAGGACCCTCGGCGTGCCTTGCCCTGCCAGCCGACAGTGAGTCGTTCGTAACTGCTCTGCCTTTGACGTCGGGCCGTCGTGCGTGTGTGTTCTTGCAGTCAGCAGACTCTCTGCTGCTGCGGTTTTACTGTGACAGTTACAGTCATATCTGAACTGCACGGGCCCCGAGTCACCCCGTGCTGTTTTTCCCAGTGCACTTCTAATGAATAACCAGCCTTCTGCCAGTCCCTCTTACGTGTATGGTCTTAGAACTTGGGGCTGTTGTCGTTCTCCTGTGGCATCACTCTCGTTAACTTTTCTGGAGTATATTTCTTACTCGTGTGCTAGGTGTTACAGCTAAGAGGGCACTATGCCCAGGGTTCTCAAAAATACGGATCTGTGGGTTTTCCCTCTTCTCTGACATGACTCGAAAGTATTTGTGTTCGTCGTGTGTTCCTTCCTTTAGGGGCCTGAAGCGATAGCCGCCTAGAGATAGACAGTTTGCTGGGATTGAATTAGCAGTTGTCGTCTTCAGGAACTCAGGGTAATAGTGAGTGAACGACTGAACGAACAAATAACTGAATCATGTCTTCCAGGGAAGAAAAAGCCCCAGGAAAATAAAAACAAAGGAAGCAAAACTGAAGACACACAGCTGAAGACAAGTGAGCCAGATTCCGCCCCTGCAAATATGAGAGATTCTGCGGAAGGTAAGCTGGGGCTTGGGGCGTGTGTGCTTAGGGGTCTAACCCCGGTTAGTGTAGCTTCCTGTCTCCTTGGAACTCCCTTCTGAGACTCATTCAAGAACTGTAAAGGCTAGTACATAGCAAGAAGGCGCCTTACAAGCCCTCCACATCCCGCCTCCCCTTCAAAAAATGATGGAAGACCTTCCTTGTTAAAAACGAAATTCTGCCCTGGTTAAAATAAGATGAAACACTCTGTATGATTGCATTTCTAAATAATTCACAAAGTTTAGAACCATCGAAGAAATTTATGGCGACAGAAGTCAGGCTGACAGGGGCAGACGGGTGTGGTTACTACTTTGTCCCCCATCTGTGGAGTGGGTGCGTTGGCGTGTTTACCTTATGAACGTCGTATCTGGCTCTGTACTTAACAAATTACATACTTGAGGGGTTTTTTGTACGTCAGTTAAAAAAGTACCTTGAGTATCAAACACCCTTGATCTTATATTTCAGAACGAAAAGTGTACAGAATGAAAAGTGTTTTTTAGTAGGATTTGAATTCCTGTTTTACCTCTTTCTCCCCACCAAACTTTCTTTTTCCTGGTTTTTCTGAGGATCAGTATCCCCGGCCCTTCGTGCTGTAAGAATTCCGAGAGGCACGGGCTGGAAGTTGGTCCAGGAGGCGGATCGCTTGGTCTGGCCTCTGTCTGGAGACTGGCGCTGTTCCCGAGGAGGGGGCCCCGTCTTCGTGTGTCGTGCGGCCGGTTCACGCAAAGACACTGGAGCTTGCTCCAGAGTCGTCCAGGCGGATTTCAAAATGGAGGCCCGTGACTCTTTCAAGAAACATTTGTAGGGGAGGAAATCCAACAAGACATTTTGGATTCCTCTTAAGCCATGTTATGAGCACTTCTGTGGCAATGACATTCATAAAGGATTGTAATTTCCTGTGGCATTTCATGAAGCAAGAATAGACTCGTTTATTCCCCAGAACCTTATAAAACTAGGTCTGCCCACCGGCAGCCGAGTGGCTAGGACATTTATTTCAGCAACAAAAATACTAAAGAACCTCACTACCTTTAGTGGCAGAATTAAAAAAGAAAACCCAGCAGTCCCATCTTCCCTTCAAAAAACTCAAAAAGATGGTTATTTTTTTTCCTGCTAGAACATCAGGTCCCATGGAAAAAGATACTTAATGTTTGCTTTTTTGTGGAGCAGCCGGTCACATGACTGGTTCTGTGCTGGGTAGTGGTCAGCCTCTCCTGAAAGTTCTGCACATCCTTGAAAACGGCCTAAGCCCGCGGTTTGGACCCGCCCCCCCCCCCCGCCCCCATGTTCCCAAAGCCTCCCCAACGTTCAAGCTCAGCACATGGGCGTGTGGACCAGGTCGGCGCGGGCCTCCTGGGGAGCAGGGCTGTGCGGGTTCAGATCGTATGGCTCTGGACAGCTCCAAATCTGGAATTGTTCACCAGTCACAGAGAAAGAAAACAGTTTTTTGTTTTTTGGTTTTTTTTTTTTTTTTCATTAAAAGCCACACGTTTTACCAAAAATGAACTCTGGGCCCTAGAGAAGTTATGTTCATTTTCTGTTGTTTCATTCCAGCCTTTTTTTAGCCACACGGGGAGGCTGTGTTGAGCATGTATTTGAAAAGGGAGTTAGTTCCTAATCTGAAACAAATCACCACCATCAAATGCCCGGTTTCCCAGTTCGCGGAAAACTCATGGAGTTCATGAAATTCGTCTGGGGGAGAGAAGGCTGGTTTCTGTTGAGAGACAGAAGCCTCACTGCTCGTAGATACAGTAACAGATGGGTAAAAGTAAGGCTGATCTGCCTAGGAAACGGCCAGGTGGTTAGGGCTGAGCAGTCGGGTTCGTGTTCATCTCCTGCATTTGCAGAGCTCGGAACACTTGGCGTTTTAGCCCCTTCCTCTCCCCTGTCTCCGGTCACCAGGTCTGTGACAGGCCTCTTTCATCTTGGCAGCCTGGCCACCTTTTTTCTGCCTCCACTGCTTCTGTCTCCCTCCCGGTGCCACTGCGTCGTTATTCGTCTTCTGCCTGCAGTGACGTCTCTTCCCAGGCCCTGCATCCCCAGGGCAGCCCCATCTCTCATGAGAGGGGCATTCTCCTGCTCTAGAGCAGCTTAGTGGACCTCCATTGCCCCCGGGTAAATCCAAAGGATCCACAGTGTGCTGCCTGTTCTGATTCCTCCTGTTACTTTTCCTTTTCTACCTTTGACCTTCAGATTCAGGTTCATCTAAGAAGCCTTCCCTGAATAACTGAGGCACATAAGATGTTCCTCCCGTGTGCTTCTGCAGCAGCTCCTGCTTCTCGAGCACAACCATGAACTCGTGCTGGCAGCGCTGCCTGCTTCCTTCCATGTAGCTCCTGTTCGGGTGAAGCTCTTTCAGGGTAGGGGTCTCGGCAGGCCCGTTCACCGGGTGCTGGCGTGCGTCAGGGTTTGCCCGGCGAGTGTGGGGCGAGCTGGCCGACAGCCAGGCGAGGGCCCAGCAGCTCCGCCGCCTCTGCAGAGCCTCTCCGAGCCCCCAGTGACCGCAGTGCAGCGGGCCTGGTCGAACAGAGACTCGGGTGGCAGTGTGGGGAAAGGGCCTTCTGCATTCTCATTACAGGCACTGTGGCAGCTCCGGCCCCAGAGTCCCCCTGCTGTCCCCGTGTTTTCTTTCAATCACTATCCCCTTTCTCTGCTTTTCTTTGTAGCTGAACCTGAAAGAGTCTCTTGTAGTCTCCCTGACCCTCCCTCCTTCTTATGTTCTCTTAGGAACTCCCTCAGGCGTGTGTCCCCACGGCCTCACTAACACTGTTGTCACGGTCACGGCGCCTCTCCTTTCCCCTCGTCTCACCCAGCCCGGCAGCGGTTCCGGACGCAGTGACCGCTCCCTCCCTGACACTGTCTTCACTGAGCCTGAGGGCCACCACGCTTCTGGCTCTCCGGACGCCTCACTGGTCTTTCCTCTGACCTCTGAGGACTGAGGTCATCCGGGGGACACTGCCCACCTCTCTGCCTGCATCCACTCTCCAGGGGACCCAGTCCAGCCCCGTGTCTCAAACGCTGTTTTGAATCTGAGGACCTGGACGTTTCCGGGCTCCCCCCTTTGTTGATGAGTCAGCTGCCGCTAACCACCGAGCACCTTCACCCGCATACCTGTTAGGGACCGCAGAGCTGAGCCCATCCAGGTCAACCCGGTTTCCTGCAGCGCGTGCACCGACCCAACCGGCTCTTCCCCCAGTCTCCTGCCGCTTAGTCAGCAGGGTTATTGCGGCTGCTCCGGGGTCCTCCTTGACGCCTCTGTTGCCGCAGGCAGGCAGCCAGCACGTCTTGTCAGCTCATCTCCAAAGAGTCTGACTGTCCCCGCCACCTCCCCGCACCACCTGGTCCCCTCCACCCCACCCTTCTCCTGGAGAATATAGCTTTCTCGTCTCCTTGCCTCCACCCGAATCCACCGCGAGTCTTCCGTCTTCCTCGGAGCAGCTCAGGTGATTCTTGGGTGTGAGTTATTTCTGTTAGAACTCTCTGGTAGCTCGTTGTCTCACTCGGAATAGAGGCCAGCAGTCTCCAGGGTCCTGTTTGAGTTGGCCTCTGACCTCATCCCCGACTCCCCTGCCTTCCGCTAGCCCCTCCCTCACCCACAGCCTTTTCCTTGAACACATCTAACAAGTTCTTGACTCAGAACTTACGCATCTGCCGTCTGCCCAGAGGGCTTCCTCCCCCAGGTGGCGGCGTGACTCACGTTCTTCAGGCCTCCGCTCAGCTGTCGCCTGACTAGCGAGTCCTTCCCGACCACCTGGGCTTTTCCTGGGCATCGAGACTCCTGAGCTCTTATTCATTTTCCCGGGCTTTGAAGAGATGACCTTACTTGAAAAAATTCTGATCACATGATTCTGAAAAATGTTCAGGCTTCGAAATACATGGATTGAGTCAGAAAGGTAGGAAAGAATCATTCAAGAAAGACCACTGAGAATCGAATCTGGTGATATACTTGGCAATTTTCTTATTTCAGTTTTGAATCATGAGAAAAAATTGGGATTCACAGCTAGTCTTCTGAAACCCAGTGCCAGCTGCCCCACCACGGTTTTCAGCACTACAGTGCCTGTAAATGAAACTGTGCGTGTACGGGTGCGACCAGACACAGCAGCGGGTATGGGCTCCATGTGACTCGGTTCACGTGTGTCTCCGCGGCGGCTAGTGTGTTGCCTGGGTGACAGCAGGTGCTCGGTAAATGTTCGCTGAACGAATGAAATGGATTCCGGTCCAGTACAACTTGGTCGGTGAGCGTGTTGTGTATTAAGCTGATCATAACCTCCCTTGAATGACAGGATTTGCCCCTGCCCCCGCCTGGGTTTGCCCTCACCACCGTGCTTCTGCTTCCCTGTGCTCTCCAGGTCCCAAAGAAGAGGACGAGAAGCCTTCCGCCTCCGCGGCCGAGCAGACAGCCGAGCAGACAGCCGACCTGCAGGAGGGGGTCTGTCAGGATGTGCTTCCGGAACTAGTCGGCGCGTCCCCCGCCCGGGAGCCGCAGGCAGAGCCAGACGAGCAGCTAGAAGCAACACATTGTGAGGTGAACGACTTGGAGGAGGAAGAGGAGGAGGAAGAGGAGGAAGATGACGAACTGGAGGAAGAGGGGGAAGAGGAAGCTGACGTGCCAAATGAAAGTCCTTTGAAAGAGCCAGAAATACGGTGTGATGAGAAGCTAGAAGATTTATTAGAAGAACCAAAAAATGTTTCAAACGAAGCTGCGGAGGACTCTCCGGAGGTGGCGCCTGTCCCCAGACTCCCCAGGGCGCAGGAAGAGGCCAATGGCGACGCCTTCGGGACGTCGATGTTCCCGTGTCAGCACTGTGAGAGGAGGTTCGCGACCAAACAGGGGCTCGAACGCCACATGCACATCCACGTGTCGACGGTGAGCCACGCCTTCAGGTGCAAGTACTGTGGGAAGGCGTTCGGCACGCAGATCAACCGGCGCAGGCACGAGCGTCGCCACGAGGTGGGGTTGAAGCGGAAACCCAGCCAGACACTACAGCCGCCCGAAGACCCCGCCGATGGCAGAGGGTCTGGAGACGGCGCCACTCCGAAAGATGACTCGAACCCGCCCGGCCTGGGGCAAGACTGTCTGCTCGTGAGCTCAGAGAAAGCCTCCCAAGAAACAGCAACTTCTTCTGTCGTGGAAGAGAACGGAGATGTTAAAGAGCTTCATCCGTGCAAATACTGTAAAAAGGTTTTCGGAACTCACACCAACATGAGACGGCATCAGCGCCGAGTTCACGAGCGCCACCTGATCCCCAAAGGCGTGCGGAGGAAAGGCGGCCTCCTGGAAGAGCCGCCGCTGCCCGCGGAGCAGGCCCAGCCCGCCCAGAATGTCTACGTACCAAGCACAGAACCAGAGGAGGAAGGGGAGGGGGATGACGTGTACATCATGGATATTTCCAGCAATATTTCTGAAAACTTAAATTACTACATTGATGGTAAAATTCAGACCAGCAGCAGCACCAGTAACTGTGATGTGATCGAGATGGAATCCAACTCGGCAGACCTGTACGGTATAAACTGTCTGCTCACTCCAGTCACGGTGGAAATCACTCAAAACATAAAGACCACGCAGGTCTCCATAACAGACGATCTTCCTAAAGAGCCTTCCAGCAGCACAAGCAGCGAGTCCAAGAAACGCAGAACTGCCAGTCCTCCCGTGCTACCCAAAATTAAAGCAGAGGCCGAGTCTGAGCCCGCCGCCCCCTCGTGCTCCTTGAGCCTGCCGCTTAGCATACCCACCGCGGAGGTGGCGTCTTTCCACAAAGAGAAGAGCGTGTATTTGTCATCCAAGCTCAAACAGCTCCTCCAGACCCAGGATAAACTGACTCCTCCCGCGGGGATGTCGGCCGCTGAGCTCCCTAAGTTGGGTCCTGTCTGTGTGTCCGCTCCCGCGTCCATGCTGCCCGTGACCGCGAGTAGGTTTAAGCGGCGGACCAGCTCCCCTCCCAGTTCTCCACAGCACAGCCCTGCCCTCCGAGACTTCGGGAAGCAGAGCGACGGCAAACCAGTGTGGACTGACGTGGTTCTGGGTTCCAAAAAGCCCAAATTAGAGAGTCACAGCAGTTCCCCAGTGTGGACTGTGTCTGGGAGAGACGAGAGAGAGGCCGTGAGCCCCCCAGGCTTTGATGAATACAAGGTCTCTAAAGAGTGGGCGTCCAGCTCCACGTACAGCAACGTGTGCAACCAGCAGCCGCTGGACCTGTCCAGTGGCGTCAAGCAGAAGGCCGAGGGCGCAGCCAAGACCCCGGTCCCGTGGGAGTCCGTGTTAGACCTCAGCGTGCACAAAAAGCCTTGCGGCGACTCGGAAGGCCGGGAACTCAGAGACAGTGCCGTGGCGCAGCCGGCCTGTAGCGTGGTCAGGAGGAAGAAGCCGACCACCTGCATGCTGCAGAAGGTTCTTCTCAATGAGTACAATGGCATCGGCGTGCCTGCCGAAAACGCCTCAGATGCGACCAGGAGCCCGAGTCCTTGTAAATCCCTAGATCCTCAGGCCGAACCTGACGCTGGCCCTGACGCTAGTTTATCCACCCCTGCTGCGGAGTCCCCACCTGACGTTTCTCCTTCCTCTCCTGCCCTCCAGACACCCTCCCTTTCTTCTGGGCAGCTGCCTCCTCTCTTGATGCCCTCACGCCCCTCCTCCCCTCCGCCCTGCCCTCCTGTGTTAACTGTTGCCACGCCGCCGCCCCCACTCCTTCCCACCATACCTCTTCCAGCCCCCTCTTCCGGGGCGTCTCCTCGTCCGTGTCCCTCCCCGCTCTCCAACGCCACGACGCAGTCCCCGCTCCCGATTCTCTCTCCCACCGTGTCTCCCTCGGCGTCTCCCATTCCTTCTGTGGAGCCTCTCGTGTCCGCGGCCTCGCCGGGGCCTCCTACACTTTCATCTTCCTCCTCCTCCTCGTCTTCATCTTCCTTCTCTTCATCTTCCTCCTCTTCCCCTTCCCCGCCTCCCCTCTCAGCAGTGTCATCCGTCGTCTCCTCCGGGGATAATCTGGAAGCCTCTCTCCCCATGATATCGTTCAAGCAGGAGGAGTTAGAGAGCGAAGAAACAGAGCCCAGGGAAGAACCCCAGTCTGCAGTTGAACACGATGTCGTTCAGGAAACATTCAGCAAAAACTTTGTCTGCAATGTCTGTGAATCGCCTTTTCTTTCCATTAAAGATCTAACCAAACACTTATCTGTTCATGCTGAAGAGTGGCCCTTCAAATGTGAATTTTGTGTGCAGCTTTTTAAGGCTAAAACTGACTTGTCAGAGCATCGCTTTTTGCTTCATGGAGTTGGGAATATCTTTGTGTGTTCAGTGTGTAAAAAAGAGTTTGCTTTTCTGTGCAATTTGCAGCAGCACCAGCGAGATCTCCACCCAGATAAGGCGTGCACGCACCACGAGTTTGAAAGTGGCACCCTGAGGCCGCAGAACTTCACAGACCCCAGCAAGGCCCGCGTGGAGCACGCGCAGAGTTTGCCGGAAGACCCTTTAGAAACGTCTAAAGAGGAAGAGGAGCTCAACGATTCCTCTGAAGAGCTTTACACAACCATCAAAATAATGGCTTCTGGAATAAAGACAAAAGATCCAGATGTTCGACTGGGCCTCAATCAGCATTACCCAAGCTTTAAGCCACCTCCGTTTCAGTACCACCACCGAAACCCCATGGGCATCGGGGTGACGGCCACCAATTTCACTACCCACAACATTCCACAGACTTTCAGCACTGCCATTCGCTGTACAAAGTGTGGCAAAGGTGTGGACAACATGCCCGAGTTACACAAACATATCCTGGCGTGTGCCTCTGCGAGCGACAAGAAGAGGTACACCCCGAAGAAAAACCCGGTGCCGCTGAAGCAAACTGTGCAACCCAAAAACGGTGTGGTGGTTTTGGATAACTCTGGGAAAAACACCTTCAGACGAATGGGACAGCCCAAAAGGCTGAACTTCAGTGTCGAGCTCAGCAAAGTATCCCCCAATAAGCTCAAATTAAATGCATTGAAGAAAAAAAACCAGCTTGTCCAGAAAGCAATCCTGCAGAAAACCAAATCTGCCAAGCAGAAGGTCGAGTTGAGGAACGCTTCGGAGTGCTCCTCCCACATCTGCCCGTACTGCAACAGGGAGTTCACGTACATCGGCAGCCTGAACAAGCATGCCGCTTTCAGCTGTCCCAAAAAACCGCTCTCTCCTTCCAAAAAAAAAGTTTCCCATTCATCCAAGAAAGGCGGACACTCGTCATCTGCAAGCAGCGACAAAAACAGTAACAGCAGCCGCAGACGGACAGCGGATGCAGAGATCAAAATGCAGAGCTCGCAGGCTCCCCTGGGCAAGACCAGAGCTCGCAGCGCGGGCCCGGCTCAGGCTGCCCTGCCCTCCTCGTCCTTCAGGTCCAAGCAGAATGTCCGATTCGCAGCGGCAGTGAAGTCCAAGAAGCCAAGCTCCTCTTTAAGGAACTCGAGCCCCATAAGAGTGGCCAGGATAGCTCACACCGAGGGGAAGAAACCCAAAGCCGTGGCCAAGAACCATTCTGCGCAGCTCTCGAGCAAGACGTCCCGGAGCCTGCACGTGAGGGTGCAGAAAAGCAAGGCCGTCCTGCAAAGCAGATCCGCCCTGGCCAGTAAGAAAAGAACAGACCGGTTCAATGTAAAATCGAGAGAGCGCAGCGGAGGGCCCATCACCCGGAGCCTGCAGCTGGCAGCTGCTGCCGACCCGAGTGAGAGCAGGAGGGAGGACAGCGGCGGCAGCAAGCAGGAGCTGAAGGACTTCAGGTAAGCCGTGTCCCCCCGGGCCGAGGAGCGCAGGGCCCAAGAGCATGGGGGCGGGAAGGACGGTTGGAAGAAAACAATGTTTGCCCAATGGCTTTTTTTTCCCCCCTTTCCTGTATGATTTTGACATAAGCACTTAAAGGAAGTGGCCGTTGCTTCAGTTGTAGGCAGGTAAAGAAGGGTCACTGCCCTGGCTGCTGCAGAGATGGATGCCACCCCGCTTTGCTCTCAGACCTGGGACTCACAGCGGTGCCATTCCCTTAGGGCCAGCTGTGCAGTGAGTTTGAAACCATGGAAAGCTCTCAGAAGCACCTTTACAGGGAAAGGTGAAATTCTCTTAAACTCCCTCCCAGTCTTGGGTAATGTGTCAGTGTCACATTATTTCCGGATCACAGATCGCTTTCTTCTGTTGTAAGGGATCGCTGAGGTCATTAAAACCGCATTGCCATCTTCGATATTTCTGTGACTCAAGCGCAGTTGTAGTAACTGGGAATGCTTCTATTATCCACGCTTGCTTCTGCTGTTTTCATGTAAAAACTTGCCTCGTTGGTTAGAACAAAATACGCCATATTCATTCAGTGCCTTACCTTCCCTGCCCCCTCCTGTCTCTAGGCCTGGGGCGATAAACAGGCGCCCCGATCCCAAAGGGGGAGGAGCGAGGAGAGTGCCCAGAACCCCGAGAGGCCTGGCCGCTGCGGGCCTTCCGGCACGTGCCGGCACCCAGGGCACGTGAGCCCGGCCTGTCGGTGCCTGTTCCCAGGAGTGCCGTCAGAGCTGCCCTGTGCTCGAGGTGATCTCACTGTGGTTTGTGTCCTCCCTCCGTTAAGGAGTGTTGTGTGTCACAAAACCTAGGGCATTAGTTAAGTCTGTCACATTGACTTCTCAAAATTTCTAAGCTACTTAAATAACCTTGGTTGATACACTCTTTTGGAATTCCTACTATCTGCTGAAAATTGCCTATAGGTCAAGCTTGTGAAGTAATCATCAGATAGAATTTCTGCAAAACACTTCACAGTCTCAGGCTTTTAGGGTGAGCTGCCTGACTCGAGGCTTTCTTGGCTGTAGCTTTCGGTGTCTGAAAACCCTTGGTGTTTCAGGCAAACAGAATTAGAGTTGACTGGGGAGTGGACTGCCGCTCTGGGGAGGTCGCCGGCACTCACAGACGCTGTTAGCCGTGCGCAACTGATGCAGTGGAGCTCTGGGTGCCGGCGTGCGTGCCTGCAGTCAGGGCTGAAGAGGGACGGGGAGAAGAGCCGTTAGCCGTGGCCGATGGGAGTGATTTGCTGTCGGAGCGCAGGGCCCGGTTTGTGAAAAGCTGCCGTGGAGCTGTACTATAGAACCGCTCAGGCCTTACTCAGCTTCTCGGTCTCCGGCCGTGGGATGTGCTTGAACCCCTGTCTGTTAGCCCTTAAAGCGGCCCGCTCGTAGCAGTTCACCTGTACTTGCTGGTACGCAGTCTGTGTTCTGGAAGTCCCACCGCAGTGGGATGCTCTTGGACTCTGGCTCCTCTTCAAGGGCACAGAGCCACAGTGCGCTGTCCTCTTTACGGACTGGACTTCTGGACGCCTCCCGGGTGTTTGCTGCTGTAGAACACACTGTGCGTGTCCCCTCCTATCTCCAGCGTGGCGTGAGAGAGTCACTTCGTGCTGCACCCTGTTTATGCCGCACGGTTGGGGAAAGTTGGTAGGAGAACTTAAGATACTGTAGAGCGAAGTTCTGAGTAGCGATAAATTTAGGAAGCTCGTTCAGGTAGTGACCTCTTGCTCGTCCAGTGCTTTCTGAAGAACCCTTGGGACCACAGGGACCAGAGTGCCCAGTAAAATTGTGTTTCTGTTTACTCCGGTTCATTTCAATGACTCTGCTTCGTCTGATAGTTAACCGAGGGTTACATTGCTGGAATGAAATTCGGCCTAAAAGGAAACGCAGAATCAGATAGGAAGAACACAGTGTCGTTCTCCCTGGCAGATAGTAGCAGCAGGCATCCACAGTGGCTGTCCCCTCTGTGTGTGAGTCGCTAGAGCCATGTGGTGGACCCACCAGAAGGACGTGTGTCTGGTGTAGGGGCCCACTGACAAGTGACCGTACACTCGTGAAGTGCAGGACATCATCGAGATGATTGAGACCCGAGAGGGGGTGTTTCTTCAGGGGGTCCCCGTGGTCTCTGGTGTCTGGGAGCGCACGTGGCATGAGGCCGGGGCTCCCGAACTCGGGCCGGGGAGCGTGATGAGGGCCTGGAGCGCAGGTCTCATCCTGCGTGCGTGCTGGTTGTGTCACTCTGGCGAGGAGTTGCTGGACTGCAGTCGGTTTCCCTTCAGTCCCGTCTTCCTTGTCGGTCTTACTCGGGGATGGTGCCTGGCGCAGGGTTAGAGATGCTCGCTCCCTCTGTTTCCGGGGGTTCCGTTCCGTGTGCCCCGTGGCCTGTGCCCAGACTTGCCATCGCACCAGCAGGCACCCTCTTCCTGTGTTTCGTTGTCACAGTCTGGGATTAGGAGCCAGCCCCTAGCACTTAGGCATCGGACCTCTGAGGCCGGCTTGGGACACCGGTTTCCAAGTACATCCTTGCAGTCAGCCATGCGCATGGAGGCAGAGCTTTCCGTTTAACAGAGGGCCCCGCAGGACGTGCCGACTGGCCGTTTCCAGGAGCATAAGCCGTTGTGTCAGCCAGGGTGTGAAAAAGACGGGGACTCCACATCCTCTTCTGAGCACAGCGCGGCAGAGGCTGCTGGGCACGCTGCCCATCTTTAGATCCTCCGTTCTGAGGTGCCCTTCAGGGCGGGCTCACCTGCCCCCATGAGCAGCCGGAGCCCGCCCTAGCGAACTTGGGGGGGGTGGACGCCGAGGGCTGGAATAGAAGACTAAGAGACAAGGAAAGAGAGACCTTTTCTACTCCCCTCCCTCCCGTCCTTGGTCTTTGTGCACCCCCAGGTGCGTTTACCTTCTGCGCTGTTCCTCTTAGAGCAGCTCTTTGGTAAAAGGCTCTTTCTCCATGGCAGCCGGTCAGAAACACCCTTCTGAAGGTGGAGAATCAGAATGAAACTCCACGTTTTCCCACTCACCAGGAGTCACTAAAGAAATACAGCGGTGTTAACTTCCTCACCTGTCCGTCTCTGCCACGCCACTCCAAGGGGGCCGGGCCTCTGCCAGCACGAGCCCTCTGGGTCGGGCCCGCGGGCCCGTGCACCTTCGGAGCCATCTGTTGCTGTCTTAACAACGTTCGGTCGTGTGGTCTGCTCACTGTGTCTCTCTAACGTGGTCAGTTCGTGTAAGGTTGTGTTGCATTGTCATTTATCTCCAGTTTTCTTATTTTCTAGGAACTTCCTGTAGGAAAGCCCCCCACACAAACCAAACCTTAACTGACTAAACAAAGGTAATGCATGCTCAACTTAGGATAAGCACTACGACCAAGGACACGAAATCTACCACGCTTGCAAGACCAGGTGAAGCTGACTCAGACCCTCACGCACACCGATGGCCCGCAGGCCTCTCGCCGCCCTGGGTAGTCAGGCACCCGCTGCTTCGCCGGTGCCCGCTGCCGGTGCTGGGCCCCGGGTGACCGAGACGCAAGGGGGCGCTGTGGGACGGCTCGGTGAACGGGCCGTCCTCACGGACCCGCCGCTCAGATGTGAGTGTGGCCCTGGTTGTCGGCACATCGCAGAGAAAGGAATGATTTGAACTTAACCTTGCGAAGCAAGTTCTCTGTTTTATCAATAGACTGTTGTAGATTTCAGGGATGACAAATTCGAATGCACTCTTTTTTAGATGTTTTGGTCACACACCAGCTCTTGATGCCTTTCTTTTAAATTAATTCTAGACGGAGAGAGGCGATTAGGTTCTCTCTTAGCCTGCTTCTTTATCACAGGCAGATTGCCAGCATAATGGAGAGGGCGCCAGATTGGATATGGACTCCTTTTTTACGCCTCTTCCGGTTTTGTGTGTGTGTATCCAGATGGACCTCCTCTCCAGCAATGACCTGGCACTAATTTATAACTATTATATTATCAGAGACGATGTAGCAATATACCAATGCCCAGGAGGCGTCCGTCACAGGCCTGTAAAGACGTGTGTCGGCGTGCAAGTAAAAACGAGTGTGCGCACCAGGTTTCACGCTCGAGTCTCTCAGAGAGATGCACAGACCGCAGGCGGGCCTCCTCCTGAGCACACCCCTCCCCTCTGCATCGTACGCTTCCACCCGAGTCATGGCCGAGTTGGTGGGAAACGGCTAGGTTCTTCATGGTTTCATTTTTGTTGTTGCTGTTCTCAACTTTGAAAGTAATCTACCTCTTAAAATTTGTAGTTTTTAATACTTGTTTGGTGAATTTGTGCCACTTTAACCCTTTCACTATCATTCCCATTTTGTTACATTTCTGTTCTGGGGACTTTTATGTTGAAATATATGTAAAGCATTTGTAGCCGTTTAAAAATAAAGTATTTAAAATTATTTAAATTGTTTTGGACGCTTCAATTGTATTATATGTGATTCACATTTTACATTTGTTTGAGTTGTTAATCTGGAGAGTGTACTTGTACTGGAGTTTACTGTCAGTTATTTTATTGTTTCTTGTCGGAGAGTTATGATATGAAAGACTATTCTAATGAAAACATTAAAATTTACAGTTTGACGTACAAAAGGGTTGTCCGTTGATTTGCACCCACGTGGCCTTTTCAGAGCGAAAGGGCCGCTCTGTCGCTGGTCCTCCCCTCCCAGCGGGAGCCGAGTCGCTGAGCTCAGAGGTACTGAGGGTTTTTTATGCTGTCGCTAGCAAGCACTTAATGAGTAGGGGGAAATTTAAACGATACGTTTTATATCATTGTAAGCAATAAAAACTTTCTAAAAGCTTGTGAGAGGCCTGCATTTTGTCCGTGGTCGTGGGCAGCTGAGGACCGGACAGGCAGAGCGCCCAGCCACGCGCTCTGCTGGGCCTGTGGCGAGTCCACCCAGCAGCCTTCACCCGCGCCCGTGGGCGGCGACTGAGCGCGCCGTGCAGGTGGCTCCCCTGCCACCT